TGGCTGCCTGTATGAAAGCTGAACAAGATCAAGACAGTGAAAATTCCAGGGACTGCTGAGGACCCCCTATCAAAGGACAGTTGGAACCTGCTGATTCACTCTTCTGTCGGAATGTGCTTACTGACAGGTGGTCTGTCCCCCAGTGGAGAGTTCTACATCCGTTCACATCTGTTTAGCACTAGTTGCACTCAGGGAACTATTTTTTTAATACAAATTAAATTTTAATCAGGGAACTATTAATATTACTTATTAATATAATAATAAATTTTCAAAGAGGACACGAAATCAGGAAGGAGCTGGATGGGTGGTTGTCAGGGGGAATTGGTGAAAGTCAGTGGACAGGAAGTGGACAAATAAAAACATATTCTAAATTCAAACACTTAAAAATTAAACATTGTAAAGATTTTTGTACTTATTATTATTACTTATTACTTATTGCTTATTATTACTCCTTGCAAATATTTTTATATTTATCATCCCCAAGTTTCTGTACAATTGACTTGTTCCAAATTTCAGCTGAAAATTCTACTCTTTAGAAAGATTTTCCTTCTGTTGAGTCATTCTCCCCTCACTGAATCTTCCTCATTGTTTGAATTGTCTGACTCTGAGATATGGTGCTATGTAAATTCCACTAAAACAGAAACCTGATATTATCACACATAGTCCTTGTATCTGGAATTGAGTAGTCATTCCAAATCCCCATGGCCAAGGGTGATATAACTCTTTAAATTATATTTTAAAGCAAAAAAACAGAGAAGAGTGGGGCAGTGGTGGCACACGCCTTTAATCCCAGCACTTGGGAGGCAGAGGCAGGTGGATTTCTGAGTTCAAGGCCAGCCTGGTCTACAGAGTGAGTTCCAGGACAGCCAGGGCTACACAGAGAAACCCTGTCTCGAAAAATAAAAAATAAAAAAAATAAATAAAAAACAACAGGAAAAGAATAAAATTATACTAGAAGGAGAACATAGTATGGTATGTACCTCTCAACTCATTCATTTGATACAAGTAGCTACATAGAAATACAATCTTCACAATATACCCTGCCCCACAAAATATGTAATTTGCAGAGAAGTTTACTAACAATACCTAGTCTCACATGTCCTTTCTGCACTTTAAACTTTTGTGGAAAATAATTTCATATAAGAACAAATATGGGTCACTGCAAGCTATCACAGAGATGTTACTTCACACTGACATCAGAAAGAAATGTGTTGTGCACATTTTATTACATGGGTGAATTATTTACTAATGACACAGGGTCAATAAGAATAAAAATACACATCACTGGAGGGTGTCAATGTTCCTATGACAAAAAGGTATTGGTACCCTGAAACCATGACAAAAACAAGTGCTGTACACAGAAACAGACAGGCATTCTTAAGTGTACTAACTTTTCAACCATAAGAAAACTCACCAATTGATTAAAAAAACACTAAATTTAAAATCAGACATTCTGGCTTCTGTAATTGTTGTTTAAGATGTGTCTAAATCTTTTACATTGCATTGGTCTGTGAATTCCCTTCCCTAACATTTCTATCCACCTTCTGTGCTTAGATTCCTACACATTGTTGTTCCTACTGGAAACTGTGTGGCATCTATCTTACTTTATTGAGTTTCCACTTCAAAATTAACAGGATTCTAAGATGCAACTTTTTTTCTAGTCAGGTCATGGGGACTGGTGATTTTTTTTTTTTTGCTTTTTTATACTTTTGTTCTTTATATTTCCCAGTGAAACTCTTCTGAACTCAGTAGACCAAATACTGTCCAGGAGATGAAGACCACTGTAGAAACTGAATTACAGAAACTGAAGAGGTCCTGACAAATGTGTGTTGTAGTTTGTACAGTCATTCTTGGCTTTTGTTTCTCCACAGTATTTGACAGGATTCAGCTGATAGTAATCAAACAAGCAAGCAAACAGGATCCATAGAAGACAACTGCAAATGTCTGGGCTCTTTATCAATATTCTCTAGACTTTATAGTTAATGAAATAAATTACAATTTTACATCAGTCACAATCTACCTACTCCAACACACACACACTCCAGACAAACACACACACTCACACACACTATACAAACACACACACACACTCCACACAAACACACACACTATACAAACACACACT